TTTATATAGAATAATATATATAATATTATTTATATAATATTATTATATAATTATTAAATATAATTATAATATACTTAACGCAACCCTGTATATATACATATGAATCAGTTTCAAAAGAAAAAGAGAAAAAAAATGCGTAACCAATTGAAACGTTTCGAATAAAATCTCTCGATCAACTTTAAATTCATGAAAATTAATGTTTCATTGAAAAATAATTATTTAATTGTCCCCCTTCTCTCTCCACTTGTATTTATAAACAAAATAATTGAATATTTCTCGAAAAAAGGCTTTCACATAATGAGAGATAAATTTTAAAGAGTTCGTGGGTGGTTGTATGCTGTTTTTTTTTTCTTTCTTTTATGTTCTTTTTCTCTCCTTCTCTCTCCACCCCAACCCTATTTTCTCTCTCTCTCTCTTTTTTTTTCATACTCGAAGGAGAAGAGAGAAGAAACGCGCTTGCGTGAGGGGAAAACTGTTCCTCCTCTCGTCCTGTCAACCGGAAGGAGGAGGCTTTCCTCTACTTCGTCGATATTTCCTACGCCAGTCGAGGAAACGTGCGACCCCGAACGAAAGTGAGAGCTGATAAACCCTCTCTCTCGTGGGTGAAAGTCACGGCCATAGTTATCTTACAATTCTTTCTTATTTTTTTTTTTTTTTGATTTTTCTTATTTTATAACATTTTCTTCCATTTTTATTTTTTCTTTTATTTTTTTCTTTTCTTTTCGTTTCGATTTCTTCGTCGTTGTTGAAGTGTCAATTACATTTTTAACATTTTTTATAATTTTTTTTTTCCATCCTCTTTTCCTACTATACCCTCTATTTTTTTTTTATATTTTCTTATTTCTTTTTTTTTTTTTTTGACAAATTTTACACATTTTTATGTTCTTTACAATACTTTCAAAAACTTTGTCGTTGTCATCGTTGTGCCAATTACATGTTTATTTCACTTTATATGTTTCTTTTTCACCCTCTTTCCTATTACACCCTCTATTTTTTTTCTTTTTCATTATTCTTTTTTCACAAATATTCCATTTTAATTTTTCTTACCTTTTTTTATGTTTTTTTCTTTCAATTCTTTCAAAAAGAATTTTGAAAATTGTCGTTGTCATCGTGTCAATTATTTTATTTCCACTTTTTATGTTTATTTCACTCTCTTTCCTATTACACCCTCTATTTTTACTCTTTTTGTCATTTTCTTTTCACAAATATTTGTTTATAATCTATCGAATGAAAAACAATAATAAAAGAAGATGTTGAAGAAATAGAAGAAGAAGTAGAAGAAGAAAATAGTTGACTACGAATACGTGAAGAGTTAAGAAAATAAAATCATAATTGAGTGTCGTATATTTAAACTCGCGTGACGTAATATACATGTATATATATAGAAATAGATAAACTCGTAGGTATATATCTATCCATTTGTTATCCCAATGATGATGATTATGATGATGATTCTTCTTTTTTTTTCTCTTCTTGTTAACATTGTTCTCTTTTACCGAACAGCAGGATGTAATTAGTTTCCTCTTAATCGTATTTTCTAGCAAACATTTTTAATTTTTTTTTTTTTCCTTCGAACCGTGTTTCTTATTAGTATTTTCGTTTCTCGTAAAACACATGCTATTGTTTGTAG